GAATACTTCTCAGATCTATCTAATTCTAATCTTATTGTTACATAAATTATAAAGTAACACTAATATTTAAATTGCGAATTATCCAATTTCTAATCGCAAAATAATAATTCTTAAATCTACCTGTAAACAGCAAGAAATAATTCCCGAAATCTATATTCATTGCAAACCCAAATCCAAGTCATATGTACGTATGAACACCTCTAATAGCACTACCCTCTCACCAACCCCAAATCACGAAAGGCAAAATAAATTTCGAGCTGAATCTCACGGAAACGATACCACCATAAACCCCATGGAGATTAATCTTGTCAGCTCGACATTCGTCGGAGTCCGACAGGAGAGAGGCTCGAGACATTTCCGTCCACGTTTCGTTCCTAACACGAATTTATCGAGCGTCACGGACCACCCTTTCCGCCCCCAACCCTGGGATAAATTGCCCGCGTGTCTTTCACCATTTTCAGCGTGTCTTCGGCCTGTTTCGACTCCCTTTTAATTAATTTTCCGCGTTCCAATATCGCCGGTGTCATCCGCGACGAAGGAAACGCCGATTCCTTCGGACACCCCTCGATGCCGGGTATCAGAAACGAGACACGGCGTCGGAACAAAGACAGCTCCCTCTGACATCCAGTCGAACAAGCACCGGGGCGTTTTAATTTACCTCGATCACCGATAAAAGCCCAAATGGACGACCGGGTCGGTGGTACGAGGAGGCAAAAGAATATGCACGGTCTAGTCGAGAGAATCGACAGGCGTCGAAATTCGACGCGAACACGCGGTTCAGATCCTGGATGAAGCTTTGACGTAATAACGAGCAGAGCCACTAGAGCGCAAAGATGGACGAGGCTTCTCCAGTCGGACTCGTCGGGATCGAAGACACGCGAGAGTGGTCATGGCGTTTTGGATTACTGTTTGCTGCGCTTTAGAGGCCGTCGAGACAGCGGGCCAAGGGGGCTCGAAGATAAAAGAGTTTCTTCGCTTTCAGCCATGTTGGAAGACGGCTTGGAAGGGTGGCTCGTAAACTTCTGCAACGCGGTGTCTTTCGTTTCCATCTTTGTTTATTCCCCGAATGATAAAAATGGAAGTACGACGATGTAAAAGGCGCGGACTGCTTCGTTGTGTCTTGGAAAGATTAACCCCTTGCCCTACGATTTCAGTTCCGATGGCACGTGCCATAATCAACAGCGGGGTTGGTCACACGAGCCATTTTATGCGAACATGGAGAAGAATAACACGTAATCGAGACGCAATTCCTTCAGGGAAAATTAACCACGAGCATGACTAATGAAAATAATTATTAAACGTCGCTGAAGTGCGTCTAAATCACTATTTTTCTAGCTATGTAATTTATTAGAATAGTTTCCACGAAGAAATATATGCGCAGGTGTCTACTCTGTGCCAAACGAAAATTTTCGAACTGATTCTTCTGCTATTGGTCATGGACCGCTCTATCAACCACCCTAACTTTTTCAAGGAACAGTGTAGGAATTGTAAAAATTGTCGAAGTTCCAATATTGCGTGGCACTATCAACAGGAAAATCAGGCACGTGTCGAGTCACGTCGTAACAACTCGTAAACTTCTGCAAGGTGATGTCTTTCGTTTCCATCTTTGTTTATTCCCCGAATGATAAGGATGGAAGTATGACGATGTAAAAGGTACGGACTGCTTCGTTGTGTTTTGGAAAGATTAGCTCCTTGCCCTACGATCTAAGCTCCGATGGCACGTGCCATAAATCAACAAGAGCCACACGTCGAGCCACGTGAGGAATAACACGTAATCGAGGCAGAAGGACATAGGCGAAAATTAACCACGAGCCTGACTAATTAAAATAATCGTTCAACGCTGCAGAAGCACGTCTAAATTACTATTTTCCTAGCTATGTAAATTACTAGTTTCCTCGACGAAATAAATACACAGGTAGCTACTCCGTGTTCAACGAAAACCCTCAAACTGATTCCTCTACTATGGTCACGGACCACTATATCAACCACCCTAAATTTTTCTTGGAACAGTAAAGAAATTGTAAAAATGTAAAATAAATATTACTCACTATACTCTCGTTCGAATACCGTAGAAGTTTCGATGGGGTGTGGCACGATTAACAGGAAAATCAGTCACACGTTGAGCCATGTCGTACCAACGCGTGCCATAGTGAACAGCAAGGCTGGTCACACCTCGAGCACACACGTTCGAACGCGTCGAAGAATAACACGTAACTGAGACAGGACGTCATCGACAAAAACTCAAGAGCCTAACCTATGATGTTTACGTTTCGCTCTACCTACGAACCGTGCCTCGTGTTCGGCCCGACCTTACCACGAGTCTCACATAATACTGTAGGCAAATGGTTTAACACAACCACATATAATTTCCAGAAGCTTGTTACTGAATACTATCAAGATTCTTTCGGGACAAATATAACGAAGTATACGCAACGTAAAGGTAGCGAGTCTCACATAATACTGTAGGCAAATGGTTTAACACATTCGCAACCACATATAATTTCCAGAAGCCTGTTACTGAATACTATCAAGATTCTTTCGGGACAAATATAACGAAGTATACGCAACGTAAAGGTTAACAATCTTTCTGTACATTTCTCTCGTATTATAAATCCGTACGATATCAGAGAATTATTCATTTAATAATTTGAAAACGTATGCAACGAGTAACAAGATTTTAAAATGACAAAATTATTTACATTCAGATAAAAAGTTCCAAAAAATGACAAAAAGATAACCTAACCGGTATTGAAACCAAGAAATTATAACGACGTGGAATTACTACGTTGCTGGCCTAGATCATGTCAACATGGCGTATGCAAATTATTTGCATCCTCTGTTACCGAAATTCAGAGTAATTTGTTCAATAAATTCGATTCGATTATATTTCTTATTTCTTAGTTGTATAAATGGAATGTGAGGTTAGAAATGAGAACTGATATCTATTACATTTCGCGGTTAGATAACCTCAAAACCAAATAGCTTTTAAATACATATTCTAGTATTATCGATATTCACTTACCAAACAGTAAATTTAGCGCAGCGAACTTCCGCCGTTTAATTTGTTCAGCCCACTTTCTCGAGCAACGAATAGTAACCAAAAAGCAATAGCACGAAAACGGCAATGACGTAATAACGAAAGGACGGCATTGTCTTGGTTATAAATTCGCGAACTTCATCGACTGCGTGCGTATTTCCTCTAACCACTTCTCTCTTTGCCAGCGCTAAACTAAAAAGAAGAAACGAATTAAAATTTCCATAGATGCCAAATGAACCGAGGGAATCAAGATATCTACCTTCGTATTTATTAATCGATTGATGAAGCTGCGCGATCGACGCCATTAAACACAGTTCGGCGTGTTCCGACGCAGCGCCACAGACGGCAACTAAGGGAACTAGGGACACGAGCTCGTCGCGCTACTCGGACGAAACTAATCGGACCGTTGTCCGAGACTTCGTAAATGGCTCGGTGAAAAAAGGACGCGGAAAGGACAGGTTACAGAGCAACGCGTCCAGGATAGTGGATTTCTGATACACACGGGTTGACATCGAGCCGTCCTACTACAGACGCGAACTTATTCAATTAAATGCAGGAAAGTTGCAGCGAAAGTTTCTCAGCTATAAACGAGGGTTGGTCGTTTAAAACTGTAGAAAAGAGATTCCTCTCAACGACACCTTATTGCTGAAGAAAAAGAAAGGAAGAAATAATAGAAACTGGGCGATTTTCATCGCTTAAAATTCTTTCACGAGAATCCTGCATTGCAATTTTGTTCGAAAGGCGATTTTTAGGTTACGTATAATCAAGAAAATATTAAAATTGATCATAAAAATCGTATAATTCATTCTATCAATTTTTTAATTAATTGTGAGCTACTAGGATTATATTAAATTTTAAGTACTAGGATTATATTAAATTTTAAGTATGATTTTAACGTTTTGGTTTATACTGTGGTTTTAAAATGATCAAAATATTTTTACCTTTACAAATATTTTTTTGGTAAAATGTTGATAGGGCATTTTAATTATTGTTTAGAATTTTCTTTATTTTTTAAATTAAAAGGATAATATATTTAAGAGTCTTTCATATATAGATTATATTAATAAATTGTATATTACTTTCTGGTTATTTAGTGGATAACGTTATAAATATTTTTATGGTTATTATTATTGCAAATCTGTGGTCTGACATGATGTGGTGTGGTATGAATTATGGTTCCAAAACGAACATTTCTTTCTCTATCTAACTAACAATAATTACTCCGTTCTGTTACATGAAGTATCACATTTACTGAAAATTTCTTTCTCAATTCAATGTAAATTTCCTTGAAATTATAATAAAAATAAAAAGAAGCTTCTATTACGTTAAACATTCTTTCGCCATATCCCTTTTCAATATATTTCCACATTTTCTATAACAAATGCCACAGTTACAATCCAGCATTGTAGTTTCGAGAACCTTGATCTTATTCACCCTTTTCATAACATTCCAAGTAACTGGAGCAAAAGCATCTTTTATAAAATACAAACTCAAAACTTTTCGACTGCGGTACTTATTTGTCGTGAATATATTTCAAAGAAAGCGAGACACCGAGTGCACCGTTCCATTAAAAACGATCAAACCGCAAACGTGTACGCATTTCGAATAATATTCTCTGTCACAGAGGAGAGTAAACAATAATCCCATCCAATAAACACCATGCTTCGATAAAAACACCTTGTCCGACACCAAAGCGTACGTTTCGGGTTAAAAGGAAGAAAAATAAAACGATAAAAAGGAATCAATTCTGAGTCCTGAGTGAAACACAACAGCACGTAAAGTTTTCTTCGGAGTGAAGAGAATTTTGTAGAATTCCTTTCTTTCGAAGGAAACTTTCCATTAAACTTTAATCAAGCTCTGAGCAGGGGACGTAGAAAGGATAGAGAGGAAGCAAGAACACGATCATTCTCAACGATAGAAAATCACACTGGCACACACGTTTGTTTGTAGAAACTCAATGTACCTAACAGTGGTATAGCGTCGGAGACCTGGGGCAGGGTCTCGGCGACGAGATTCAGGAACACGGTCAGCGATAACAAGATGGTCACTCCTGAAACAGTCGTAGAGCCCGGCTTGTTCAATGATCCATTTCATATTCGCGTTCGAAGCAAGTAAACCGACGACCGTGCTCACCCATTGGCACGAGCATCGTCCCTTGATTCTATCCGCTGATCGTCCAGATCACCGACAAATTCGAGGATCAAGATGCGAGTAAATCCCCGGTTTTAAGATAGACCAACTTGCAGATTCAATGTCTGATCCCGTGTGGAGGATTTGGTTTATTCTCAACCAATTTTCAGTATCTCTCGCAATATTAAATTTTGATTTAATTTTAATTTTGAGTTACGATGGATTTTCACTCGTTTTAAAAATTGGGACAATTAACTCTTTCGCTACGGCGAACTACGAAGTTTCAAAGATCAAAGAGGAAACGTTACGATCGTGCAGTTTTTAGCATTCGGACTTTCGACGCAAATCTTTTGAAGAAATAAAGGAAAGGAAAAACTGACCATTGCAATAGAGCTTGTAGTTCTCTGCCAAGAGAGCTAAGAGGAACCGTAGCACTTAATTCTTTTACTCAATTTTTGTGGCCCGTGACTATAGTCACCAGTTGTACGTAGATGGCGCCTCGTAGTTGGTGACTATAGTCACCAGTCGTGCGTAGGTGGCGCCTCATGACCGGTGACTATAGTTACCCATAGTAGCGAAAAGGTTAATTAGGTCTCGGGGATTCACTTAATTCTTTTACTCAACTTTTGTGGCCCGTGACTATAGTCACCAGTTGTACGTAGATGGCGCCTCCTAGTTGGTGACTATAGTCACCAGTCGTACGTAGGTGGCGCCTCATGACCGATGACTATAATCACCCATAGTAGCGAAGGGGTTAATTAGGTCTCGGGGATTCACTCAGTTTTGCAACTCGAAATTTCTTTGATTCTCTGAAAATATACTCGTTTATTCGATTTCTGCGTTCAAAGGGCTGTTCCTGTTTCTTGTATAATGCAATTACGCATGCACGAGTCGAAAATTCAGTATTTGGGTACACGTTATTAACCAGCTCGGGAAGTTTTGATACTTGCGTGATACTTGGTCAATCAGTCGCAGCTTTTGCAAAATTTTTACATTATATTCAGAAATCGCGGCAATAGACGTTGCATTACCAAATCGTCGTTGAATTTAACAACGCAACATTACAACTGTTCACGATTAATCACAGATAATGACATAATCTCTATCTTGGAGGAGCACCATTTCATAAATACGAAATTCTTCACGTCTGCAATTTTCCTTTCAAAGAAGAATCTATTAATTTCGCGTGATTAAAAGTTTCCTAATTACATCACTCTCAACTAAAAAAATTTCCCTAAAATGAAGATAGGAATAATCCATTTGTTACCTGATCTTTTACCAAAGACACCCTGATATGACTAACAAGGAGAGTGCAAGTCCTTCGGGTCACCGATTTGGTTCAAACATTGCAGGTTTGCAGATCTTTCAAGTCTAGCCTCGAATATTGAAAATCCCAAATAAGTTCAATTTGTTAACAAACAATTTCATTACCCACGAGCCTCGAATATCAAAAGGAATCTATAATCGTAAAAGAGGAAATGTGTCCTGTGTCGTCTGAAACGTGGTTGATTTATGCCATAAAAATATATGTACATTTCCGAATCACGTAAGGAACTCGGTATTTCTAGTACACCTAGAGGAAATAGCCGGATCGTAAAGTCGGCATTGCACGAAATGGATAAATGAAAAAACAAAGCGACGACCGGTGAGAATCGTGGCCGGAAGTAAAGTTCGCCCAACGGCGGTGTCGTAGGAATTTTATTGCGGAGGAACAGCCGCTGTTTATAGGGCCCCATGGGAGGAATGGATTAAATAATAAATAATGCGAACGGGTAGAGAGGGAGGCTGCGCAACTCGTGGCCACGGTGATTCGCACAGTGACATTTTTATCTGAGAGAAACTACCCTTGCGACTGAGCTCACTTCCGTCTCGCTCTTCATCTTTTAATAATAATGTCCGCAAATTTATTACGTCAATAGCTTCTCGACTCCCGACATCTTGGAATATCTATACAACAGCTGTAAATGTAATTAATCCGCTGTTGGCCATTTGAGTTCCTCGCTCTTACATCTTTCTCCCTCAATTTAATTCTTTATTGTATTTTATTCGTCGTTATTATCCTTTGCATTGGGATTTAAATATTTGGAACAGGAAATAATTGTGCGAAAGATAGAAAAGACTTTGTAAGTATTCCAGAATAATCCTGGATATTTGGAAAACTTGAAGTTGCACAAGAATTAGAGTCGGCCATAAGGAAAATTCTGCAAACATTTATCTACAGTAACAAGTGTTTGAATGAAAACAGAAACGCGAAAATAGAAGTTATTACCTATTATTCATTAAAACACCTACAAATTATTCCCTTAAATTATTTCTCTGTCACACAATTAGGATTTCACCCAAAGAAAAGAATCACTAACCTCAAAAAAGTTAATTAATTTAAAAAGAGAAAATAATAGAAAATAAGAAAATCCACAGAACAAGTTCATCGGCGCATAATACCAAGGAAAGTATCTCACGAGACGTAATACGTGTCACTTTACGACGTTGGTTCACGAACCGATTGGAACACCGTAAAGACAACGCGATAACGAGATCTAATGGCAGCCGGAAACTTCTATTTGATCGAGGTAAATAAAGGGGTGGCTCGAGGAGCGATGGCTGTTTCGCAATTCTTTGTTTCACGCGGTGTAGAATTAATGGCGCATTTACATCGGAAGCGGATTGGGGCGGTCCGCGGAACAGCGGAAAAATCGTCGGCTTTTTCCAGCGCGAAAACGCGCTGCATTGTTTCCCTGCTCAACCGTCGGTTCCTATTTTCATTCAAACCCCTGCATTTATACCACGGAGAAAGCGTTAATATCAAGCGTCGGGAACGACACAAAAGTGTTTTTTATGAGCGCATCGATAAACCGTATCGACACTCCGCTTATTTTCTTGCCTGCCCGGTGTTCACGGTGAATTTAACATGTTGAAATACCGAACCCAGAGGGTGGCTCAGAAGAAACGTTAAAGACAAGGAATGATGGAGGACTAGGGGGAGAGGAGAGGGTGGCCAGGGTGTGCAAAAAGGAGAGACGGGCAGGAGCCAGACGCGGTTGAATAATGAAGAGGAAAATGGACGAAGCGCAAAATGGCGCGGGAGATAAAAAAAGAGAGAGAAAAAAAATGGCGGGAGAGAAAGAGCGGCGCAAGAGAGAATTATAGATGAAAGCGGAGGAGAAAAGGCGCGGAAATAAAACGGTGATCCGCGATTAAGACCGAGGATAATATGGAGAAATGATGGATAGTGGACGTGAAAGTGATTGGCAAAGTGTCCGAAATAAAACTGATAAATGGTCCAAATGTGGTGGATTTACGAGTATGCAAATGAGTAGTGAAATGGAATGAAAAATGTGAATGACGTGGAATAGATTGGAATAAGATTAGAAACATGAGAATGATATGAAGAAATAAGACGTAATAAATGTACATGTATACATACGAATAAAGAGGATTAATAAAATGTCCAACAACACCCCCAACCCCCAAATACATATATATGGAAGGTAAAATAGTTCTTACCCAATTATTCCAATAATTTTGCACTATATATAATAATCTAAGAAAATTAAATGAATAAAGAGGATTAATAAAATGTCCAACAACCCCCATCCCCCAAATACATATATATACAAGTTAAAATATTTCTTATCCAATTATTGTAATAATTTTGCACTATATATAATAATCTAAAGAAATTAAATGAATAAAGAGAATTAATAAAATGTCCAACAACCCCCACCCCCTAAATATATATATATACATGTTAAAAAATTTCTTATCCAATTATTGTAACAATTTTGCACTATATATAATAATCTGAAGAAATTAAATGAATAAAGAGAATTAATAAAATGTCCAACAACCCCCATCCCCCAATTATTCTAATAATTTTGTACTATATATAATAGTGTAAAGAAATTAAATATATATATTTTGAGTTAAAAATTTTGAAGAAATTTATGAACGTAGTTTACACGTTTGAGTAAAAAGAAAGTAAGAACATGATTTTTACCATTCTGTCATAAGTACCAAAACCAAAAGACCTCAAATTTGATCACGAATTCCTCCATAATTAAGTAGTAAATTATTCCCAAATTTTGAGCAATGACTTCTTGTAACATAATTCGAGAAAATTCTTGAACTTCGACGTTTGGGTAAGAACTGCTTAAAAAGAAAAAGTGGTAAACGAGGATCAACGCGATATAGAATGCAGGAATCGTGTAAAGGACGACGAAGCAAAGATGTCAATGTCCAGCTTCACGATTGATGTAAACCCGAAGTGCCATCTGCCTTTTGAAACAAGCGTATATACGACTATTGAACGAGTTTTGTCGTTCAGGAATTTCTGAAAAACAAACCGTCACTCGGGATAATAGGTTTCGGTTCGTCAGTTTTCCATCGGGCATCGATTTATCGGTTGATATTTTTGCTCAGATTAACAAACTCGCTGAAACTCTGCAAGCTTTTGAATCGATGACGTAGACGTCCGTTATCCAATGTAAACTCCATTCGGTGGAATATCGGCCAACTCGACGGAAAAATGTTGGCTCATTTGCGATTAATGCGGGATTTGCAACATGACTGCAAGCACCGAAACGAGGTTACTAAGAAAAATCTTCGTTGTCTTGTATGCACTTGTTGGGTCAACGTTGATGTGGTATGATCACGTACACTTGCTGCAGTTTTTAAAATTATTGGAATTTACGAAAGGCCTGTGAGCTTTTATATTATGTAGCGATATATTATTTATTTGCTAACATTTTAAATTATTTTAACAGCACAGAAATCCCTGTTACAAAGTCGAGTTAGGTTAAATTAAATATTTCTCAGGTATTTGGTAACCGAGATCATTAAAATTCCAAGTGAGAGAAATTTTCAATAATTGTGGCGAATCACATTGGCGTAGACCAAAAAGTGCACCAAGTCAGAGACAGT